TTTGCTCTTCGTCCTGAGCATCCTGCGCCTTCTGCGCTTCCTCACTCCGAGGAGGGGATTTGGGAGTGTCGGCGCCCATGTTGTCGATGCTTTGCACAGATATCCACCCTCTGACACCTCCGATATTGTGCGCCGACCTGTGTCTGTTCTATACCATGCCTCGCGTGGTGTCTTCCGATGCGTCGGGGTCAGCGTTCGTTCGTTCGGAGCTCGTGAAGTCGATGGGGCGACGCGTCGGTCGGCTCTGGGGAAGCAGGAGGGAAAGTTCACGTAGAGCCGCAGAAATTTGGGTGACTCAGGTGCGATTTCTGCAGGGGTGCCTGAGGCGTCAGTTGTCAGCCAATTACTTTGCTTCGAAGAAGGCAGCAATGGCCAGTGGCCCGTGCCTGCCCGTTCTACCCCAGGTGGTCATCGGCAATGGGGTTTTTGTTTCTGTCATGGCATACCTAAAATCGACGGTGGAGGATGGTGGTTTTGCTTTCCTAACGCGAAGTTGAACCAAAGCAAATATCGATATATCGGTAAAGTGAAGTCAAAAAAGTCTGCTTGTGGGTGACAATATGGCCAAGCGTGCTTTCTGTGTTCGTAATGGCATTTGATGATGGTGGATGTGGAGATAAGTTGTGTGAGATGGTAAGAAGCTGGTCACCGCGGTAAGTCAACTTTGTAGAAGTTGGAAGCGGAAAGGAAAAGGTTTGCACAAGTAGGTACTGAGGTGCCTAGCTGAGAGAGACAGACAGCCCGAGGTCGTTGATGGACGGGAAAGGTCCTAGGTAAGGTACCTACTTAGACAGGAGAGGAAGAGTGGGTCGTGTTCACTTACACGGGAGGAAAGAGCAAAAACCGTCTCTTGAGGTCTACCTTCCTCAAGGTAAGTCCAGATTTCTGAGCTACATACCTTATATCTAGCCATGCTGACATGCCTACTTCATCTTCGAGTTGTAGTCATCTCCTATGCCTGAGATACCAATCAAGGCATCGTAACTTGTCCTTGTTCAGAGTATCCAGATCCATGGCAGACAAGGAAACTTTTGACAAGCTGCCACCCTTCTGTCCTTTCAAGACATCCATCTCCACATCAATCGCTTTTCTGAATCGCATTTCCCCAGACTCGTTCTTTCACTAATGCGGCATAGCGTCAAGCCAAATATGCTTCACCAATGAACAGGACAAAAAGCCACGTTTAATCTACCTACTTGTCCATTGTCGACTCCAACCTTGATTGCGAGTGGCTGGCTGAGGATCGACCCGCTCCGATCATCTCACGCAATGCAAGACAAGATCTGCTATAACATTCGCAACTCCGCAATCTACACGCGAAGAACCGTAAGCTAGTCGACTCCATCCTGACATTCGAATACATATATTTCCAAATCGCTGCAGAGTAGAAATGCCACGCGAAGATACGCAGCAGTGAACGTTCGTTTGATACGTTTTTGTATTTTTCACAATCTATGTATCTCCGATGAAGGAACAGATTGCATACGCGTACAGATAGCATCCTTCCAAGACGGTTTTAATGCGAGGTAGTCTTTTGACGCCCACCGTCTGCCTCTTCCCTCTGATAGTCAGAAAAAAGCCTTTTGTGCAAACTCCATACGCCCTTTTCTTAGTAACGAGTAACAATGACCCTCCCGCCATACTCCTGCTACCCCTATCCTAACTTTGATCCCCAACGGGCCCTTGAATGACGGCAATCACTTGCAACGCTTCTCCACGATGCTGACACCGTTCTCCTCGTACTCCTTGCGCGAGATCCACATCTGGTGGAAGGTACCCAAGCTAGCCAGGATGCTGCCGCCGATCCAGGCGCCGAAGCGACGCTCGCTGGAGAGACCGGCAGCATGGATCTTGATCTTGAGGCCGGGGTACATGGCCGTAAGCTCATTGTTCAGACGGTCGTTGAAGCCGTTGAGCAAGCTGGTGCTGCCAGTGACAACAATGTTGCCGAGGAGGTTGGGACGCAGGTCGACGTCGACAGCGTTCAGGGCGGCGCGGATGAGCTCGGGGATCGTCTGCGACTTGTTCAGGCGGAACTCCTCGTTGGTGGTCGGGAACGCCGCGGTCTCGTCCCACATGCCCTCGGAGACCTTGTACCGCTGCTCGCGCCACATCTGATTCGCGCCGTTGGGGAACTCAAACACGCGGCCGGGCTGCGTCTTAGCGAACTCCTCGTTTTGCGGCACGGCGTACTTGCCGGGTCCGCGCCAGGTCTCGACCACTGACTCCTTGAATTCCGTAAGGAGACGGTCGTCCTCGTAGGCGCGGAATGAGTCGGTGATGGAGAAGTCGAACTTGCGTTCCTTGAACTGAGCAGGAGCGCCTGCATCGACGGGAGTCTTACTCTCGACCATGTATGTAGGAACGGGCTCGATCTTGGGCTCTGAGGTCTCCCACAGGCTGCGAATCTGGGACGACAGCCACAGGCCACCAACGGGAGACTTCTGGATGGATCGCTTCAGGACCATGCCGTCGTGAATAGCTGTAACCGAAGTGTTGGAGCCGCCGACGTCAATGACCAGGGCGCTCGCCTTGCCAGCGGCAAAAGCAGCCAGAACGGGCGTTCTGCTGAGCCAAAACGCAGGGCAGCCCCAGTTCTCCATGATAATTTCAATGGCCTTCTCTCTAGACTTTGCAGAGTTCCACGGCGCCTCTGTCATCAGGAGCGGGTTCTCTTGCAGGGCCTTCTCTTGCGATTCCACGTCCTCCATGGCCACGTCGACGTCGCCGTTGGCCTCACCTCCCTCGACTTCCTCCTTGGGGTCATCATTCAGGCCGTTCTTGGACGGGTGAGTCGGGCGTCCGGGCTGGAGGCGTGTGATGAGCATGTGCTCCCAAAGCTTGTTGGCGACATCCCAGTCCTCGACAACACTGTCGCGCGTCATGTAGTTGCGGACCTCAAGGTCGGCCCGGGGGATCAGGCACTCGTCGCCGAAGACGGTCGTCGGGGTATCGGAGGAGCCAACGCGGCCGTAGAAGGACGGGAAGACGGACTTGGGGACATCTTCGCCAGCGAATCCGGCGCGGGTGCTGCAGTAGCCTGGGTCGAGGACCAGGGCGGAGACCTCATCTGTTCGCGATGGTAAGATTGGGTCACGCGTAGAGTACAGCTGGCGGTGGGCACTTACCTCCTCCGTAGATGTCGGTCGGCTGGACGGCCGAGGACAGCGGTTGTTGGGACATGATTGCAATTCGACGTGTGAAGCGACAATCCACCGAAGTAATTGAGATGGTTCGAGGGCGGTGGGGTGGGTTGTTGCGATGCTTCGGTCGATTGAAGGTCGCGTCTGGTCAAAATTTGGCGCGGTGGTTGGAGGAAGGTGCAAGGCTGAGAGATTCCAGCCACACCCCACTGTGTCATAGCGCGACACACTGTACGAGCTCTCGGTGAGAGCTACTGACCGAGCAGGGATGTCTACCATTAAATTACAAAATCGTCACATCCCACCATACAGCACTTGAGCATTGGGTCTAAAGAGCGGAGCCTCAATAGAAAGGCTATGCCAGTCACTTTGGCATTTTGAAATATGATTGGACTACGAATCTCGCGCGCAATGGGTATCTCATTTTCGTTTTGACTGTATTCGTTTTCAATTAGTTGCTGATTTCAGGCTTCATGTCACAATATATTCGTCCTCTGACTCGAAATCTCGGCCCTCTCCGTAAAGAACTTCACACGCGCCGGCCAATGGTATGTCCATAACAGCATCCGTCCCCTCGTTCCATATATTCTTCCAGTCGTATCCTCCCCCGGGCAGCCTATGATCTCTCTTATTCCTAGACCTCTTCTTCGGGTCGTCTCTCAGCCGCCCCTTGCTGTCAATGGTCCCAATCTTAGAGGCATCATCCACCACCGTCTCAATGGAGCTCAGCGGCAGCGTCAGAATCTCCGTATTGTACGCCGCGAGCGCGATGTAAATATAGACCCCCAGCATCGTGAGGAAAGCCGGGATCGCGAGCGACCACCAGCGGTTCGGATAGTAGTAAATGCCCAGCGCGTGGAGGAATGGCGAGGGCAGGTAGGACCAGAGCAGGTAGACGAGGAAGGTCAGCGTCGAGAATAGGTACAGGACGAAGCCGTAGTATTCGTAGGTCGGCACCTGCGGCGACGCGCGCGGCACGGGCTCAAAGTCGTCGTCCGAGGCATCGGGCGTCGTCGGTCGCGATGGGCGGAGGAGCGACGTCAGTGACGGCGAAGGAGGCAGAGGGGTTGGCGGGCGACCGTAGAAGGGGGGCGCAAAATAGTTTAAGTTGTGATGCAGGGGTCGCGGGGCCGGTAGCTCTTCGTCGTCGTCGCTGGACTCGGAGGCGAAGGATTGGTTGTCAAAGAGGAGCTCTTCTTCTTCGTCTGAGGATAGAGACATCTTGGGCGAGAAGCCCGATTAGCCCGGCCTCTGCTATCAGTGTTGCGACAGTGGAGTTGTGGTGTTGCAAGAGGCAGAATCGCCATTTCCCCAGGTTGGCTCCAGTGGAAACCTAGAATTGGCCCTGTCCGTCCTGCCCCTGTCTACCTACCTTAGGTAGGTACCTCTCATGCACGGAGTAGTGGGGCCGCTTTCTCCTAAAGGTCGGCGCCGATTAGGTAACTTTTTGAACTTCCTTTCTTCCCGTTCACCAGACCCTTGGTGTCATCTTCTGTAAATCCATCAGGTTACGAAACTCGTATTAGTCTATAAAAAATTCTTCTTTGATAAGTAAACAGTTGGAGTAATTTATGTCAACATATTTTGCAGGTTCTCGTAGGAATCAATATGGCTTAGAGACCAAGAAGGTGACTATAGCAGTGGGCAGCCCAGATCACTTACACAGTGTTTAACTTCAATGCGCCTTGCTTCAATAAAGTCTAGTTGCTTTGAATCAAGAATTGACCGATCAACTATTTCCCCAGTCTTTGCCTTTTGATCTATACCGATTCTGACCAGCCTCTGTCTCTTTCCTCTCTCTCCAGACACATCGAGAAGCAAACTATTCCACCCGTGCCACGGACACACCCATCCGCATCATCTTCTCCCAAACGCCTGTCGAAACCAACCTATTCATAAAGTCAGAAAAAAACTCCGGCAAACACCAACGTCAAACTGGTCAGGAAACGGATACACTCACCTCTCCGATTCTCGTCTCTCCTATTCTCACCTCTCCTCGTGCCCGCCGGCTCAATCCAGACCCGATTCCTCAACCCGTTCCTCACCCTCACCGCCTGCGCCCACGTCAACCCGAACCGGACGCTATTATGCATACTACACGCCACGATCCCGCAAGTCCGGCACCGCAAGTACACGGCGTACGCCCTCGACCGGCAAAACGTGCACGCCGGCGGCTGGACGCGGTTGTTCATGTCCTCCACCTCCCACGACGTCGGCAGGTGATGGCTGCACAGGGGGTCCTCGGCGTGGATCGCGAATACGGGCCAGGCCCGCGGTGCTCCCGCCCTCTCGCCCGGATGCGCGAGGGGAGGTGGTCGGCGTCTGTTGGCGCGGGGTTCAGGGCGCCACTCTCGGGTTTCCGGCTAGATTATGGGAGTTAGTCCTTGTCAATGGATGGTTCAGTACCAGGTAGAGGAAGATAGGGAAAGGAAAGTGGTGTTCTCAGCATACCTCGGTGTTTCTGCCGTCTGGGTAGAACATGATGATGCTGAACCGTCCCCGGCCCTGTCGAATACGAGCTTCCCGGTCCATGTCGTATACGTTGCGCTGATCTATGAATTGTATTTCCCCCGCGGGTTGGAGACCTTGCACTTGCGGCTGGGGAACTCCTACAAACGACAAGTTAGTCCCCCCAAATCTTGTTGATAGCCACAGGTGTGAAAGCGGCAGTCAGAGAGAATTGATACGGCTGGCGTCGATCGAGGACTGTACTGGCGGAGGAGGAAATGGCACAACCATGGGCTGAACCCAAATCGAAGTTGCGCGTGCCCCCTTTTATGAATGTCACATGTTCCTCATCCGATGACTGGGCGTGACAGAGGAGTCACTTACCTGCAGGAAACGGTACCCACAAACCATCAAGATTTGCTTGCGGAAAGGGTTGAGCTTGCGGTTGAACTTCCGGTTGAACCTGAGGCGGTTGAGGCGGCGGCGGAGGAGGAGGGAAAGGAGGGTGCTGAAGTACCGGCGTGGGAACAACTAGTCGGCCATCTTCCCCAAGTTGACCCTGCCGATACGTCGTCCTCCGATCCCTCATATTCACACGGCCCCAACCTCTGCAATTTTGCACACAGCCTCTCCTCCATATCCCGCCGCACGAGAAGCAGAACTCTTCGCCGCATACGCACCTACACGTCCTCTAGTCAGTTCTACTCTCGAAACCTCTTTACTTCACTTTGCTTTCCAGGATAGGAGGAGAGAAAGGGAAAACAAGGGGGAGGCACAAAAACTCACGTCATGTGCGTACACCCGCCCGCACGCTCGATAATCCTCCGACAACTAGGACAAGGCGAAAAATCAAGCTCGTCCATGACATCCATCAACGCCGCATCCTCAGCCTCGGTGCCACACAGCTGTCCCGGATGGAGCGGTCTCCGACACTGCCGACACGTCCCCTGCCCACATGCAAGACAAGTAGCACCACCAGCAGCCGGTATAAACGCAGCACACTCCGGCCTAGCACAATACACCCTCTCCCCGCCCGGCGTCTCCTCCTCAACCCGAACCTGTCTATACAGCCTCACCAGCCGCGGCCGTCCCTCGCCGGCGGCCTGCTCGACGTTTTCTGGTTGTAGGGGCTGACAGCACCGCGGCGGCCAGCCTCCTGGGCGTAATCCCGCGCGGAGACAGCGCCGGAGGCAGCGGGGGCACATTCGGCAGCCGCAGGGGAGGCGGTGGAGGGGTTGTCGTGCCGTGAAGCAGACGACGCATTCCGTTCTGTCGTCGTTGTTGATGTCATTGTCGTCTTCAGCGTCTGAGGTTTCTGCGCTGTTGTTTCGAGTATCAGTCAGAAGGCGATTGCGTTCTTCCCAGCCGATATAACCTCCTGTACCCTCCATGACAACGTTACCGGCGTTATCGTTGGCATCATTATCGTTGGCCTCGTTCTCATTTTCATGAATAATGGCGTCGTCGCCCTCTATTCCCATGACACTCTGTCTCATGGCAATAGCGAGCTGCTGATCCGGGGTAGCCATCTCGAGCGCCCTAACGGCAGCACGCTCGACCTCCCGTTCCGTCGCAAAGCGCAACGTGTCGAGGTTGAGGAAACCATGTTCAATGATGATGTTTGTAATATCTTCGTCGAGGCGTTGAAAGAGGTCCATCTTTGTAGGTTTGGTCTAGTTCCTTTGCGTTCCATGGGGCAAGGTGTTGCTCTATGAGTGTTGGCTATCGTCTGGAGGAGTATCGATGCTGGATGTCTCTCTTCCTCTCTCTCTAACGGGCTAGTAGCACATTGCCGACCCATCGGAGTCACAGGCTGTCAGCGGTGAAGAAGTACTCAAAATGGACATGGAGTTTTCCTTCATTCAGCGTCACGAGGCGTACTGACAATCCAGTGAATGTGTTTATCCATCACTATACGGCCCCAGTCACTCTCAATAAGCACCGTACAGACTCCCTTCAATCCGAAGAATAAGAACCCGTAGTTACATTATATGCACGACACATAGGATAAGTAGCACTTCATGGATTCATAGTGAAGCCACAAGGGGGAGGGAGGAGGGGGAGCTCTCGAACCATGCTTCTTTCGAAAATAAATATGGAGGTCGATGCTGGAATACGTGCTGCAGTAGATTCTTCTTCCTAGGCCATGTTTTGCATATTCAAATCGGCCTCAACTCTGCTGGGCAGGTAAAATGTATCTGCTTGCGGAGCTACTATCCGAGACTCAACTTTGCATATGAATCCATGAGAAAGGCACAAATCAACTAAATCAGTAACAAGATATTGATTTTTCGTCGTGGGGCATGTGATAGATACGGCCAAAGTACCGGGACAGGATTTCCCACTTTCTACTTCGGACCCAAAGCTACTTTCTTAGGCACGTGTACCGTGGTGTCGAGAAATCGTACCCAGTCACAGGTCACAGGTGTCATGGAAAACAGCAAAGTGTCATTGAACAGTGACGGACTGACTTGACTCAAATTGATAGATGACAAAAGAGCTGCCTTGCCCCTGCCTATCTTCTAGACCGGATGAAACCGGCCTTGTTCCCACCGCTCCGTCATACTAAGGTGTTATGCCCAAAGAGGTGGATTTGATATATCATCGACTCCCTTACGCCATAAAAGCTGACTCCTTCGTCAAACCATAATGGGATATTCTCGTCGACATTGACCGTGATATCTTTACTTGCTTTGTCCAAACGACCGCTGCGCTGCAATATAGTGGCAAGACCTGTTTCCGCCAGAATGAACCCCCAGAACCAACCGCCCATCGGTGGCTATGGCCAATGAACCCCCCCATAAACTCCAAACATTGTAAACTCCGACGCTGCTATCCGGGATATGATTTGAAATGACAAAGAAAGAAAAGAGTGGTAATAGTAACATCAGATATAAAGTAGAAGATGGGTATAAATGATCAATAACTGAAGTCCACATTACCCATCTGGGATAACATCTTTGCTTCCGCTTCCGTCGAGCTCGCAGTCGCGCCGGTGTTTGTTGATGTTGCTGAATTTGAGTTTGTTTGTGAGGTTTGCGTCGTTTGTGAAGTGGAATTTGTCTGTGTTTGTTGCAGTTCGTGTTCCGGTGGGGGTTGACCACTAGGCGACCACCCTTCGTCTAGAATCTGTTGGAAGCTCCAGCTGGGTTCGAACCTGGTGCTGTTCCAGGCGTAGTCGACACGTTCGTACATTTCATCAATCTGCTCAAGACTGATCTTGCTGGTCTCGAAGACCATGCACCACACAAATAGAACGGCCAGAATGCAGAAGGCACCCCAGAGGAAGAAGATCTTGGGACCAATATCTGCATAGCCGGGTCCCTGACCAACCATGAATGGAGTACCGTATGCGATGCCAAAGTTCAAGAGCCAGTTGGAAGCGGTCGAAATAGAAGCAGCCTTTGCACGGATCTTCAAGGGGTATATCTCGGACGTAATGACCCAGCACACGGGGCCCCACGATGCTGCGAAGAAGAATATGTTGATGGCGCAGAAGACGATCAAAATGGTTTGCGCAGCCTGCTGTAGGTTCTCTCCGGCAGCTGTAGAGAAGGAGGCGATGAGGAGTTGACAGACTGCCATGCCGATGGCACCGACCATGAGCAGCTTGCGACGGCCCCAGGATTCGATGACAAGGAGTCCCGGGACTGTTCCAACAACATTGATGATGTTGATGATGAGAGCCTTCACGTAAGGGTTCTCAACCCTGGCGCCATCGAAGAAGGACGTGCTGTAGTACATGATGAAGTTGATACCCGTAAGTTGTTGCAGCATTTGAAGGCAACATCCAGTGAGAGTTCTTCGACCAAGATGGGGCGACCCATAAAAGATTTCCTTGTATGAGTCTGGGCCAAGTGTGAGTTCATACTCGTGGTTTGCCACGATTTCCTGGAGCTCGTCGAGTAGGGCGGGATGGGTAATATCGAGGCGACGGAGGCGACTGAGTGATAAACCCGCGGCTTCTGGCTTGCCCTTCTTGACAAGAAAGCGTGGTGTTTCGGGAAGGACGAGGAGACCGAGGGTTAAGACGACGGCCCACACAAGTTGAAGGCCAAGCGGGATGCGGTAGGCGGCGCCCGAGTCCAGCCTTTCGGTCAAGATGTTGACAAAGGACGCAGACAATAACCCAATCGTGATGGATAGTTGGTAGGCGCAGACGAGTGTACCACGAATCCACTTCGGGGCCATTTCTGACTGATAGACTGGGACGAGAACTGAGATAGATCCGACGCCGACACCAGCAAAAAACCTGTGCGTTTGGTCAGCGACGCGTTGCGCGATGAGCCGACACAACCAATCCTTTAAGCATACCTTCCGACCAAGAGCATTGGGATGTCATGCGCGCAGACTTGGAAAATACCGCCAAAGCTGAAGACGCCGGCGGATAAGATGAGCGAAATGCGACGGCCCCAACTATCGCCGATGGGTGCGGCGAGGAGAGCACCGAGGACTGTCCCGGCACTTAGAATTGCGACGATGATGGAGGATTCGGCGGGCGAAATAGCAGGCTTCAGGTTTTCGGTATAACCGGTGGAAAAGTCTCGTCGGAAGGCCGTCATGGAGAGGATACCGTTAATCGTTCTACAGTCCGTCACGAATCAGCGTCCAGGTCTCGGAAGAATCCCCCCACGAACACACGAATATGAGCACCAGCGCCATCGCGTTCTTTTCCTCGTCTCGTTCGTTTGTCGTTGACGGTGGTGCTCGATCGTATTGCCGCGTTGCGCATAGGGGTTTGCGTGTGCTTACCCAGTGTCGTAGCCAAAGAGCAATCCGCCTGAGGCGACGAACAGACCGACCATGATGGCCGGGGCCGACGAGCCGGCGACATTGTCGGGCTTCTGCCAGCCCATGGCTATCGCCATGGTGAAGGGGGGTTTCGGCTCGAGCAATCCAGAATGGAAGCGTTGTACTATGAGAGGGCGAAACTCTCGAGGGTCGTCGAGAATCGAGGTGGAAATGGGCCGGCGACCATTTGAGTGAAGTGACGGGCGACGGAGACGGGGACGGCGGGCGAGTGAAGAGTGGTGAATCGACGAAGTGTGGGTAACGATGGATGGATAGGATGGAATGGGACAGGACAGGCAGATGGGGTGTGGAGAAGGAAGCAGGGAGACAGGCGAAGGTAAGAAGCACGAAAGGTCGGGCAGTCGGGTCCCGGATACTCTACGACTAAGGTAGGCAGTCAGTCCAGTCCAGTTCGGAAGAAGGAGCCACCAAAAAAGCCACCACCGCCCACCTACTGCGTCCATACGCCCACCACAGTGGCACAGTGGGAGTCTGAGAGTCTGGGAGTCCTGGGACTGAGAGAACGGGGGCGGCGAGGCACCTCAGAGGATGGGGGCCTGGGGCACAGAGAACACTGTGAACAGCGCGAGTCTGGGGTGTGTGGAACCCAAGACGGAAGATGAACCAGTCAGAAAGATGGAGGGCAAGGGGAAATATGGAGATGGAGGGCGGGCAAGAAAAGCAGCAAGACTTTCCCTCTTCCAATTCTTGCCTTACCTCAGCACGCTCAGGTCAGCGCTCTCTGTCGAGTCTCACCCCCGCCATCAGCACACAGCACACAGCACACAGCATCAGCGC